CCCTGCCCACCATGGAGTACATACCAGGAGAAGATCTGAATTGAAAATTCAGAGTCAGAGATGACCACACAGTGTCACTCCTCAACTTCTCTCTGCTACTGAGGGCATTTGCTGGATTTCCTCCAGGCTTCCAGATTACCGGTGACCATCCATTCGTGTGGAGTCATGGTCCTCATGCCTGGCTCCAAGGGAAGTGAGGGGATCAATTCCACCACCATCAGTGAGAGCAGCTATGTATTAAGTATCTGTCGATTGCCTAGCACTGTGCTCAGAGCCTTGTGCATCATCCTCTTCCATGCATACAATCCATGCTTAGGTCCTATTGGCTCCATCCTCCCATTGAGGAAACTTAGGCTCAATAGTTTGGGTGATTTGTCCATAGCCATAGAATCTCGTGCCTGTGAAGGGCTCCATGGTCCTCTGGTTCTACCTCCTGGTTGAAAGGTTGGTTCTACCTGGGTTGAAGTATATAACAATCTACTACTACACTGAGTCTAGGAGTCTAAGATCCCAAAAATGTTACCCAAGCAATGCAGCCTTGTGGCTTGTAATGGGACTGTTTTCCATCCTCATTGCCAAGAACAAATTGCCTGCCTGTGGATTCTCCCATTAACTTCAATTCCAGCATCAAAGGCTACCTCTGGTGGGGCATAGCCATCTATACTGCCATGCAACCAAAGAGAAGACAAGTGTCAGTCTGCACAGAGATAAGAATGGCCCTCCCTCCCCTTGTCCCCTCTCAGGTACCAGGATCCCATAGGGCATGAGAGAACTCTATCAGTCCACAGTCCACGGTCCCCCTAGCTCTAGCCATGCACTGCTCCATGGGCTTCCCATGCTGCTTCTCCTGTCCTTATGTGCAGCCTCTCAGCTCATGAAGGCTCGCTCCACTTGGTCTTAATAGGAGCTGTACGAGAATAAATTATACTATAGTCACCAGTGAGAAATGCACTGGTTTCATTGTCCAGGTAAAGGCTGCCATGAGGAAATGGACTCTCGCTGGAGGAGGAGGAAGTGGAGCCAAGGACATGTCACCATTGTGGTGACAGAAGACTGAATATCACAATGGCAGTCCTGAGGAAGGTGCTCTCCTCTGGCAGGAGCCTAACTTCGCTCTTGGACCCAGTGAACTTGGGGGAAGTGCTGGGCAACTGTGTGCTTGGTGGCTTGGTGCAGGTCAGACCCACAGGCATCCTAACAGTGGAAATGGGGGCTTGCAGGTTCAACTGGCTTATCCATCCTGTGCCTCAGTTCCAGCCTAGACCTCCCTCATGCAAGACCTTTCACTTCTTCACTCCCACAAACACACCCTCTCTAATTTCTCTAAATTCCACTATCCAGTGTCCTTGGATTTCACCCTTGTATGTAGGGCATGGGCTTAGCCCAACTTTCTAAGTTACAGCACTGGTGCCCCATATCAGGGGTGGAAATACCCACAGTCTCCCTCAGTGAACTTCCAGGGGATGGGGCTATAATGGAGAGGATCTTCTCTCTATGATAAAACAAATGTGATAAGACATGGAATGGAATTGAAAATTTTAAATGAAACATAAGATTTCAAAGAAGGTTCCTGCTCTGTCCCCTGACCTTGACTTACATTTCATTTTCTTCCTGAGTCCATAAAAAGTGAAAGGCTTACTCACTGTACCTAAAGAAGAAAGAGCAGTCTAAGTTACTTAGGGGAAAAAGGGAAGGGAAGGGAAGAGAAGGCAAGGGAAGAGAGGAAGGGAAGGAAGGGGAGGGAGGGAGAGAGAGAAAGGAAAGAGAATAAAACAAAGTTGAAGTGAGTATATTTCTAGGGTTATAGAATCAAAGTAAACATCAGTGAATAAAACCAGAAAACCTGCTTTTCAAAATAGATATTTGCAATTAGCATGTTGATTGAACCCAAATAAGTCTAACTAAAATGCTCGAGAATGCTTAAAAAGTTGGCCTCTGTTGCAATAGAAATACAGTAGGAATTCATTTACCACTTAGACTCATTGTAGCTCTTGTTTACTCAGTGGCCCTTCTAATGCACAAATTCCTCCATTCCCAGTCTCGCTGTGTTCTAGAAAATCCGATGAGTGTGGTCTGATTACCTGTCTTTCACAGATGAGGAACTTGAGGATGGAGACATGACTTGCCCAAAGTCACACAGGCAATCAGCAGCAGAATTCATATTCAAACCCAGTTTTATCCAACTCCACCATATGACCTCATTTTCCATTTGTGAAGTGGAATGCACCCTGCTAGCTTCTTCCATTTACTTTGAGATGTTCAGTGTCACCATCCTGGCCTTTGTAGAATTGTGGGCATATCTGCCCAAAGGGATTCAATGTCTTAAGACAAGATGAAAGTCACCATCTGTGAAGCCCTGATGTGACAGTGGCAGGGCTCCACTCTGTGTAGCAGCAGTGCCAGCTAACTGCTTGATTCACATGCAGGGCACCCATCAAAGAGCTTGACCCTAAGTTGTAAGCCAGAGACTCCAAGTAGCTGCCACACTGTAGTGCTGGCCTAAAGAGAGAAGAAGAACAAAAAGATCCACTCCAAATCTAAGTCCGAGGGTGTTGGTAACAGCAGGCTGCTCTTTTTTTCCAGAAAGAGTCTGAAGGGAACCTCCCCATGGCTTCCTTTGCTTTGGAAGATGGCAAAACTTCAACACCTGATGCGAACTGGCTGTTGAGGTTTTAACATGCAAGCCAGCTATAGCCTTGCTGAGCTGAAGGACGCAGAGTACAGGCAAATGAGAGTTGGAATCCCCAGAGCCCTGGGTGAGCCAGGACCCTAGGCTGACCGCCAAGAACCCATTCTGAGGTGAGGAGGCCAGGCTTGGAGGAGGGACTGCATCTTAAAACAGACCCTCATGATTACTGATCAAAACGGATCGGGGCAGGGTCTGGGTTGGGAACAGAATAAACTAGAATTCTGGCTCTCTGGTGGGGAGGGCAGGCCAACTTCCCATATCTGACCTCAGCACCATGTGGCTAGGGGACAGGGGACAGCTAAGAAACCCGAGCCTCCCAATATCCCACAGAACTTGGGCCCAGCCTCAGTGCCAAGGGGCTGAAGTTTTAAAATCATAACAAAAATTCCAGGCCTGTCAGAAATACTTAAAAACTAGCTATGCCCACGTGACGATAATTCCAGTCCTGTCTGTCCTGTGACAAATCAAAAATTGCGTAGATGTCATCGAGACAACAAAGGTAAGGGAACAAAGTGATCCTTTTGCTGTAATTTAACATCTACTAAGGCTTCCACTGAACTGTCATATAAAGATCTCCACCTAGAAAAGAGAAGCCAAAACTTTCACTACCCATATTTCATTTCACCCAGAATTCTCACTTCCAGATTAAAATGACTATGCATGGAGGTGGAGTGCACCCAACAGCTAGTCTGTCTCCTTGATTTTAAGGGGGAATTCATGGCCCCGGAGGATTCGAGAACAAATCTTGTACAATTGATATCAATCGCATGGCACAGATTCCAGCCTCACGTGCTTGCAGACATATTTCCTCCTTCCATGAATCATTTCATCCCGATGGAGCGGCCTCAGTGATGAGAGCCCAAGCGGGGAGTCGACCAGGCAAGGAACCAAGTAAAAAACCAATACTGAATTTCTACTTGGAGCTGAGGTCCAGGCCAAGTTCTTTGTAAGTTTCAAGGACCAGGGTTTCAAAGTCTATTTAGAGTGTGTGCTAATTGTCTTTGTAGAGAGTAGGGTTGCTTGCAGGAGGGGTACCAAGGTCTAAAATAACTGTTGTTACCATTTTAGAGAAAAAGGAAGACAGCAGTTGGAGGAGCAATTCTTTCATACGATTTTATTAGCATATAATAATTGTACAGAGGGATACATCATGATATTTACATATGTACTAAAATATACTCAGTTGGATTTACCCTTGAAGGGACAATTCTTGAACCCATCACCCCCTGAGAAAAATAACAGCAGAAAACTAAATAAAGGAAGGAATTTGGAGATTCTGCATACTTTAACATAAGTCCTAGGAATGGTCATTAATTCCCCACTAGCAGCTAAGGTTTATCAAAGGAAATCTCGTTCTCAACTTTAATTACTAGCGATGCTATTTAATTACTTCTGGCCTGTTAATATTTTAAAACTGTTTTGTTTTTCTGCATCTCTATCTGTATTCTCAAGTTCAGCAGGAAATCACTTTGAATCTCAAATAAGTTCTATTTCTAGTTTTCAGATTTATGGATGGGACAAAGAAACCAGTTTCCTTGGAACCATTTTTTTTCCAGACATTTTATTTTTTTGTTTACAGGACTCTGCCTTTAGTGATGCAGTCAACAAAACATGATGGCATAAAGGTCAGAAGTTAGGCTTTGGAGTTTCAAATGGTACCTTCACTGCTGGCTGAGTCCCAGCCTCGGGCAAGTGAGTGAGTCTCTATGGGCCTCAGTTTCCTCATGTGTAAAGTGGGGACCCTAATGCTTCTACCTCAAGGCTTGTGGTGAGGACCAGGTGAGTCACTACACATGGAAAGGAGGTGACAGTGCTGAGCTCTTGTCAGGACATCAGAGGATGTAGCTGTGTTCAACACTGCTGCTTCTACTACTACCAGGAACCACAATGGCTACCGGTGAGGTTATGCCTGAAGTACCAGATGACGTAACAGTAGACAAGAAAAGACACAGATCACAGACTCTTCTGTCCTCATGTTGCTTACGGTCAGTAAGAAGCTGTCAGTGAACAAGAAGTTCCTGGTACAATGAGTTCTGTGGATCAGAGAATAGAGGGGGCTAGTGGGAGTGTTTTCCTAGCATGCACAAAACCTTGGGCCCAGTCCCCAAGGAGAAATCCATCAGAGTTCAGAGATGTGCCCACCTGCACAGACAAACCCTTCAGTCCTAAGTACTTGCACAGATCGTTTCATTACCTACCATTATTGTTTGCTCCCTTCCATTGGTGCCAAGAAATCCAAAATGAGCAGGCAACTTGCTCAGTTTCAGTAAGTCTATTTCAAGAGTGCTTTTTTTTTCTTTTTTTTTTTTTTTGGTGGTGTTGAGGTTTGAACTCAGGGCCTCATGCTTACTAGGCAGGCGCTCTACCACTTAAGCCACTCCACCAGCCCAAGTAAGTCTATTTCAGATGCTCAGTTAGAGGCAAACATCCAACACATGCTTTAACCTCTTTGATCTCCCCAGACCCAACGAAAATGATAGAAAATGTTTTGTTTCTTTAAAAAGCAAACAAAAACTTGTATCTACAAGACGAAAAAAAAAAAAAAAAGCAAGAAAAAGAGTGACAAAAGTCAAATTGTTGAAGGTGGAAGCAGAAGGATGACTAGAACTGACAGGTCAGTCCCAGGGCCAGATGGAGCCAGCCAGGAAGCATCCCGACATCACCAGGAGGCCCTGGGGCTGGAAGGAAGTCCAGGCTGAGAACAGGAAGAAGACCAGGTAGAGCAGGTCCAGAGGCTGCCACCCCATCTGCACCACTGTGTGACCACCCCTCCTCCAACCTGGCTGAACACAGGAAATGACTTGTCTACCAATAATTCCAGGAAGTCTGTACGGAAGGACACAAGGCACAGTCAAAGCAGAGGTACCTTGTTGAAAAATAAAGAGTCCAAGGGAAAGTTGGCGGACACACCCCAGACTGGGGTGAGGAAGAGGGGCTACCATCTAACTTCTCCTTAGTGTTTATTTTAGGCCACAAACTGTTCTAAGAGCTTTGTGAACATTAACTCATTTGATCCTTACAACAATGCCATTGCTAGGTAGAGATGGCGTGAACTAAGTTTCTCTGTTTTGTATATGAGACAACTGAGGCCCAAAGAGATCACACTGGTGAAAGTGAAAGGGTCAAATCGGGATTCGAATCCAGGCCATGAGCAAAGGGAATGACACACCTAAGGTACATTACAAAAATGCTCCTGCTGAATGAGTCAGCCCCATAGATATGAACTGATGATACTGACATTGTGGATTCTCCAAGGACACAGTATAACCAGGTCACCCTATAAGGAGGCCCACAGTTACCCAGCCCCACCCCTGTGTGCACAGAATGGTTGATGAAGTATTTAGTGTCTTCTTGAAAATAGGAGAAGACAGCAAAGAACTACCAGATATGGGATCAAAACCTTTGATGAGAAAGAGCAGAAAGAAGGAAGGGAAGAGAAGGGAAAAGAAAAAAAGGAAGGAGGAAGAGAGAAAAGAAAGAAGGAAGACAGTAAAGGGAGCAGAGATTTGCAGGGAAATAAAAACTTCCAGAAATTCTCACTGATATCCACAGAGAGCATGTTATGAAATTTTAGACATTAGAAATGAAGAAAAATCCTACACCGCCAAAGTAAAGAGAATAAAACACTGCTTGTGTCAGTTAGCTATGGCTGCATAACAAATAATTCCTAAACTTCACACGGCTCATGACAGTCATGAATCTGGAAGTAGTATTGCTGGGTGACTCCAGCCCAGTCTCCCACAAAATCATAGCCAAGTTGGAGATCATTGTTGATCAAATACCCAGTGTGTTTGAAAGTATTAAGAGAAGGTTTTAGATAAGAGGAAGAATTTGGAGGTTAATTATTATAAGATTAATAGAAAACTAAATAAATGATCATCTCACATGCAAAATGCATTCATTCTATCTCAACAATTTCAACAGTCTTGTTTTAACTTCAACTGTAAAGTCTAAAGTCCAAAGTCTCTTCTAAATATCATCTAAGTCAGAAATGGATCACCATCAAGGCACAACTCATCTTGTAAAAACTGCTGTCCATTTGTAAAACCAAACAAGTTGCAACGTGTTTCTGAACTACAATGTGGAACAGGCATAGGATAGACAATTCCCACTCCAAGAGGGAGACGTGAAAAAGGAAAGGGCGACAGCTTCCAAATAAAGCCAAACCCTGGCAAGACCAACTCCATGACATCATAAATCTTGAGAATAGTCCTATAAAGGCTTCAGGTTTGCTTTCATACCCTCTGGGGTTGCGATGTCACCCCCCACATCTTTTAGGGCACTGTCAACATAATGACTCTGTGTTGGCTCCATCTGTGTCATGGTGCTGCCTGATGGACTGTGTGTCTCTAGGGCTTCTCCAGGTGGACTTTCCCCCTTAGCTCTGGGCAGCCTCTTTAACCCCACAGCTGCTTTTGGAAGCTGTATGCTTGGTGAAATTCAGGTGGTGGCTCTGATGATACTGGGGTTACCTTCAAGGCCCTTCTTCCCTTTTCTTGAAGGGTAGCGAACAGTCACAGCCTACCTTCATTTTGTACCTTTCTTCTCTGTTTCTTTTTGTTCCAGCTGGCAGAGTTTCTGCTTTCATTATCCTATTCTGTTCCTGCCTTATTCAGAGATGATTAAGTCCATGGTTCATACTTGGCACATCTACCATACCTTTAAGTGTCCCCCTCTAAAATGTGTTCTTTCTCTCTCTCTCTCTCTCTGTCTCTCTCTCAATATAGACAGGCTGAGAATTTTTTAAATCTTTATTTTCTGGTTCCTCTTTGCCTAACAATTCCATATTCAATTCATCTCTCTTCTTGCAGTTTCTGTAAGCAGTTTGGAGTAACCAAGCCACCCTTTCAACACTTTGCTTAGAAATTTCCTGAGCTAAATGTCTAATTCTGTCATTTGCAGGTTTCACCTTCCACAAAACCCCAGCATGCAAGTTCTTTGCTCCTGTTGATGAGGACTGCCTTTCTTCACTGTCTAATAGCATGCTCCTCAGCTTCCTGGGAGACCTCTTTGCAATTGCCCCTGCTTCCATATTCCCACTGGTATTTTATTCAGGATTATTTATATCTGTGTAGACATGCTAATTAGAAATGTAGAGATTAAAACATTTAAAAGAAAAACAACTAACAAGAGATGAAAGTGATTGCCTCTGAGTACATGGTTCAAAAACTCTTAAGAGGTTTTGAGAAGCGATTGCCAGTCAGGCATGGTGGTGCATACCTGTAAATACAGCACTCAGGAGGCAGGAGGATCTCAAGTTCAAGGCCAGCCTGGCTACATACTCGGTCTCAAAGAAACCAAATAGATATAATATGTACAATACATATATAAGATATTATATGTAACATTATGTATATAAATGACATATGCTATTGTGTATAATATATTATATAATGATATAATCATATCAAACTATAGTACAACTTGTAATTATATAATGTTAAATATTACTATAACTTAAATATTATTGTGTTATATAATAAAAAGAAGTGATTGCTAAGTATGGGCCCCAAGGTGCTGATATTTTACACCAACTTCACCACAATGGTACAGAAAGGTAAATGTGGTAGCTACACCATAGCACAGCCTCTGATTACTGTCGCCTCCCTGGTACTCATGGCCTTGGGAATTTTCCTACACTAAACAAGGCTGACCTGTGTCACCAACAAGGAATTGCAAAAATGGTGGAGCGTCACTCCTGAGGCAAGGTGAGACATTGTGTAATTCCTTTTGAATCACTCACTCTGAGGAACGTTGGGTGCTATGTCATGGGGCTATCAAGAGAAGTCACTGGCAAAGAACTGAGTGTTCTCGCCAACAGCCTGAGCTTACCAGCCATCTTGGAAGTGAGTGTGCCATCTTGGAAGATCTAGCCCAAGTTAACACCACAAATAAGTATGCCTGGTCTGACAATTTGACTTTGTTCCCATGAGAAACCCAAAGCCTCCCTCATTTGGCTAAGCCATTCCTAATCCTGTAACTCATAGAAACTATGAAATAACGACACTTACTGTTGTTCTAAGCCACTGGAGTTTGGGATAAATTTTTAGGCACTAGTAGATACCTAATACATATCTTCTTATACCTAGATTATAGTGCTACTATAAAAAGTGCTAAGAATATAAGTGGCTTTTTACAATGCCATAATAAAAATACAATGGCAGAAGAATATTCAGAAGTGCCTTAATTCAATAGAATTCTGTCAGCCCTCTGCTGGTATGGCCAGGCAGGAAACTGGGCAGATTTTTATTGGAAAGTAGCGTGTGATGTATTGGCAGAATTTAACAATACTGTCACCTGTGGCAATGAAGAAAGAAAATGTATTTAATAAGCTGGATAATTTAGCTGGCAAGATTCGCAACCAGAGTTTTGAAGATACCACCTGGTATCTTCTTGGTACTACTAATAAAATACAAGAGGACATAAGAATAAAGGGAGACCATTAAAAAAAGGTGTATGTGGGGTCAGGGTCAAGGCCTACAGGTTTTGGAAGCTCCACATGACAAACAGGACTAAACTAAAGAAGTTGTTCCCAGGCAAAAAGCAAATTCAGAGCCTTCTTGGAGAAACATAGGGTAACAATTAAGCCAAAGTATGACCATAAAATCCTTTGCTGCAACTTAGAACTATCTAAGGTGATGTCTCAAAGAATAGTTCAAACAACAGAAAGTCAGCCACCATGACCTGAAGACTCAAGCAATTCTATGAAGAGGTCCATGTGTTAAGGAAAAGAGACCTCCTACTAAAAGCCCAAACTTGCTACCCCCATGAGTGCACCATCTTGGAAGCAGATCCTTCATTCTAAGTTAAGCTGCCCAAGCATGCAGATCAAACAAGTCAACATCCTCACAATATCTTTAGGAGAGATACTGAGCCAGAGTCAACCAAGGAAGCTGCTCCAGAATTCCTCCCCATTGACAATGTGAGGGAAAGAGTCTTTATTGTTTTAAGCCACTCCATTTGGATGTAATTTCTTTTACGGAAATAGAGAACTAATATGGTGATGTTAATTCTGATATAATCAAAGTTTTGATTTTGTTCTAACATCCTTCTATTCAACTATATTCTTTAAATCTTATGTTTAAGAAGCTTTAATCCTGACTTTGCTTTCTTGATCTTCTTCCAGATTGAAGAAGGATGGTTCTACCCACCAGGGAGATGGTTTCAGCACTTGTGTGCTTGAAGGACAAGTCATAAGGCAACCATGAAGATCCCACTGAGCCATAGTGATAAGTCCTCTTATTAAGGAATTATTTCCACTGGTAGAACTGTAGAATGACATAGCCTTTTATTTGTCTCCAGATGAAATCTTCTAAAAAACTCACACAAAACAACTCTCATAGCTTCAAAAAATGGTAGCAATTGAATAGTCACCCATCATAAA